CCTCCCCAGACAAGGTCAGTCAAATTCCCTCAGGATTTATCCTGAAACCCTGTACAGCAGTTGTAGATCTTTTGTCAGTGTCAGCCATCTGGATGAGTCATCAGTTTTCCTGACATGGGTATTCATTGCTGTGAAATTTCCTCTAAGTACTGCTTTCATTGTGTCCTTTAGGTTCCATTATGTTGTATTCTCATTATCATTTAATTGTAGATATTGCCTAACTTTTTCAATTTTGTCTGTGACTGATTCGTGTTCAGGAGGGTGCTACTTAATTTACATGTATTTATGAAGTTCTTGTGGTTTTTCTTGCCGTTGATTTACAATTTTATTGCATAGGATAATTTCAGTTGCTTTGCATTTACCGAGGTATATTCGATGGACTAGCATGTGGTCTATTTTGGAAAATGTCCACTGTGCAGCTAAGAAGAATATGTATTATGATGTTGTGGGCTGGAACACTCTGTAGATATCTACTAAGTCTATTTGTTCAAAAGTTTGTTTTATTTCTAATATTTCATTGTTGATTTTTTTTGTCTAGTTGGTCTTTTTGTGATAACGGAGTCTTGAGATCCCCCAATGCAATTGTATTAGTGCTTATTTGATTTTTCATGACCATTAATATTTGTTTCATATAGATGGGTACACTGGTATTTGTTATGTATATATATATATATTTATGACTTTTACCTCTACCTCTTGGATTGTTCCCTTTACAAGAATGTAGTGACCTTCTTTGTCTCTATTAATCAGGAAGCTAGCCATCAATAAGTAGAGCTTGGAAAACAGTAACTCTTTTTAGAAGATTCAAACTGGACCCATATTTCTCACAATGTACCAAAGTAAAATCAAAATGAATTAAAAATCTAAACATTAAAACACTGCTACTTTTTTTTTTTTCTTTCTTTCTTCTTTTCTTTTTTTTTTTTTTTACAGTATGGAGAATCAAACCTGGGACATTGTGCTTGCCAGACAGGTGCTTATGCCATTGAGCTATTTCTCCAGCCCTAAACATTAAAACAAAAACGTTAAACTTACTGGAAGATAAAATAGGTGGAACACTTGAAGTCATAGGTGTGGAAAAGGATTTTTTTCTTTTTGAGACAAAGTCTTGCTGTGCAGTTTACCTTGAACTCACTGTGTAGCCTGGGCTGGGCTCAAACTCATGAGTATTCTCCTATCTCAGCCTCCTGAGTACTGGGATTACAGGCATGTGGTATGTACCACTGTGCCCGGTTTGGAAAAGATTTTTTTAAATGGAACCATAGTTGCCCAAGAAATAACAGCAAGAATCAACAAATGAGGGGGCCAGGGAGATGGCTCAGTGGAATAAGTGCTTGCCTGGCAAGTGCGAGGACCTGAGTTCAATCACTGGTTCCACCAAAAAAAAAAAGAATCAACAAATGGGATTATATCAAGTTAAAATTCTACACAACAGAAGAGTTAGTAAAGTAAAGAGACAACCTAAGGAATGGGAACAAATTTTTGCGAGTCATTCCTCAGACAGAGGGTGTTGGGAGTGGTGAAGCTGGTAGTTGGTCATATGTGGAGGGCAGGATAATGGGTCTGTGCCTAAGCAGTCAAGCTGCCTCAGTCTTGAGAAAACATCCTGTCTGGACAATATCAGCTATTAGTTACTATGCAACTTTGTGTCTCCTGATACTAACTTTGCAAAGGTATAAATATTCCCATTGTTGTTCTTTGGGTCTTTTGCCAGTTAGGCAAACAGGCCTCCACCCGACCCAGCTCTTGTCTTTTTGTCTGTCTTTTCCTCATTCCTGCTGCAGTTTCTCCCCAAGGTACGCAAGAGACCAGTGACTCCCTACAAGAGGACTAATATCTAGGATATATAAAAAACTTAAAAAAAATTAGAACATATAAAAGACTTCTTCAAGAAATGAGCACACAAAATGGGTAGAAGAGGAAGAAGTACAAATGGCCCACATATATATATGAAAAAGTATTCAGCATCTCTGGTCATTAGAAAAATGCAAATTAAAGATTTTGTCTTGGGCCAGCCAGATAGATAGCTCAGTGGACTAAAGCACCCGCTTAGGCAGACACAGGGACCAGGATTTGATCCCCAGCATACCATGGTAGCCCTGCGCCTGGGGTGCACTGAGATGGCAGTTGAGACTGGGCGTGGTGACACGTACCTGTAATCCCAGTGCTTGGGAGGCTGAAAACAGGAGGATCACTATGAGTCCGATCTGTGTAGTGAGACCCTCGAGACCCTGTAGTAAATACATTTAAAATAGAGATTCCATCTTTTGCCATAAAGAATGGCAATCATCAAGAAATCAAAAAATAACACATACTGGCAGGCTGTGGTAAGCAAGGCACCCTCATGCATTGTTGGTAGGAATATCAGTTAGTACAGCCATTATAGAAGTCAGTGTAGAGACTTTTCAAGAACTAAAATTACAAATTTAGTATGACGTAGTTATCCCCCTTCTGGACACCTTCCCCGAAGAGCTTATCACATCATATTGTAGTGATACATGCATGCCAATGTTTACAGCAGCAGAATTCATAATAGCTAAATCCTGGAAGGAGCTTATATACCCATCAACAGACGATTGCCTAAAGAAAATACTGTATCTATACATAATGTATTACTGTTTGACTATCAAGAAAGGCTTTGAGAAATTTGTAGGAAAATATATGCACCTGGAAAATACAATGTTGACAAATAAACCAGACACATAAGCTTAAATACTATATGGCATTCCTCCTTTGAGTAAGGCAAAGTATAAAGAGAGTAATTAAAGGAAGGCAGATTGAAAGAGACAAGGGAGCTGAGTGGTGCACGTCTGTAATCCCAGCACTCAAGAGACTCAAGCAGGAGACTCACCACAAATTCAGTGCTAGCCTGGGCTACATAGTGAGTTCAAGGCCAGCCTGGACTGCATAGCAAGGCAGTCTCCAGAAAAAGGAGACAAGGGGATGGATCTCTTGCAAAAATGGAAAGGGATCCAAGAGACCAAGGATGAGATAAAGACAAGGGGAAGGAGAAGGGGAAATACCATGGTACTACCTCAATTCATGATCTCAGTTCTCTTCATAATTCTGGTCCCAAGTACAGTCCACTTGGTTGTTCTGTTTCTTTGTTTAGCCTTTTCATTATGAGTACTGTCATATAATACTAACAGTTTTCATCTTGGTATCAGCGTCTATTATGGTTTGTATCTAGTTGTCCCCCCAAAGCCTCATGCAGTCATGAGATGGCTTCTGGACTTTGTGATTGATTTTTGTGGGTGTGGATGCTGCACCTGCCCTGGCGCAGGTAATTTGCATTCGTGTAAGGAGGGCTGAGAGGCTAGCTGGATGCATGAGCTGTTGCCACTCCCTTTGCTCTCTTCTCTTTGCCACTGCCTTGAAAGGTTGCTGTCTGCCATGTGCCTCTCTGCCTTGGAGCCAGCTAAGTATGGACTGAAACTTGCAGTACCTGTGAGCTAAATAAACCTTTCCTTCTTTCATTTTGGGTGTCAGGTATTTGTCCCAGCAATGAGAGAAGAGTAACTGAGACAGTTGGGGAGGATGAGTTTGTGCCTCTAGAATTGAGGTGGCTCCAGCACATCTACATAAAAGTGGCTTTCAGTAATGCTATTTTAAGTGCTCCTGCAAAGATGATCTTTGATGTCCTGGACTTGAGACCAAGTGTTGAATAACAAGGACACCAGTTTCACGGAGCATGCCAAAGTGAACGAACTGGGAAAGTTGATGGAAACACTGGTAACTACACAGAGGGGCCTGTGGACTGTGGGTAATCAAAGTGGGAGCAGGGAAGTCCCATTTGTGAGGGAACCTGGAGCTGCTGTTCTTGGTGGCTTTGGGGCCTTGATCTTTGAGAACTTGCAGAATTCTCAGTTAACCATAGGCCTCAAATCTAAAACACTTAGGAGGGACAGGCTGAAGACATACTTTGTAAAAGTAAAATTTAGCATATAGTTACCAGGATCCTTTAAATTGTTTGCAACTGTGGCCACTCAGAGATGATAGGCATCCTGTATTGGGAGGAGATCACCACACTGCTTTGTCTCGATGTCCACCTTTAAGCTCCTCGTGTGAGTGGGGAGGGGAAAGAGCTAGTGACCCTGTCCATCTGTTGTCAGGCTATGTGGGCCATCAGGTCCTCAGGTCTTTGATTTCTCTGTGTGGCGTAGGATGGAGGCCAGCAGCTCCTCAGTGTGAGGCAGAGCTGGGTGATGCCCCCTCTTCCAGTGACCTGCAGCTTTGGGAGACTTCTCTTTTTTTGAACCGGGAATCCAACTCAGAACCTCATGCCTACCAGATAAGCACTGTGCTGCTGAGCTATACCTCCAGCCCCATAATGATTTCTTTTTTTTCTTAATTTTCGGGAAGGGTCTACAGGGTGTTCAGGGTCTCACTACTAGATTATAGTGATCTACCTGTTTACAGGTTCCCAAGAGCCCCCACACCCAGTCTCAGTTGCCAGTCTCTGTACCCTGGGGGCATGGCAGGCCTGGGGATCGAACCCTCGGCCCCTGTGCGTGCTTTCAGGTGCTTTAATCTACTGAGCTATTTGGCCAACCCTGTCCCATATTGATTTTTTAAAACCTTGCAAGTGATCTGTGGGGCCCTGAAGCCAGAGCAGGTATGTGGTAGTGGGTTTGAAGACTAATAAACAGCAATAGGTTTTCTTTGCTGTAGAAATTACATAACTGAACAAAAGTGCTGTGTGGTGTACCCATGGATGCCAGCCCAGGTCTGATTGTAGGATAAGAACTTTGCCTTGGGGCTGGGAGTATAGCTCAGTGGCACCAGTGGCTGCCTGGCAAGCACAAGGTTCTGAGTTTGATTTGTGATACCAGAAACAAAAAGACTTTGCTTATTATGTATTTCCTACAAAGCACCAACCTCTTGCTACCTCTGTGGATCTTGGGCTTTTATTGAAATGTTATTCTTACTGCATTGTTTTCAAGCAGCAAAGCAGCAAAACATGCTCTTTATTATGTCTTCTTCTCCTCTGTTCATGTCAGGTTGGATTTGGTCCAGGGAGTCCCAAAAAGAAATAGAAAAGGAGAGACAAGCATATTATCAGAAAACAGCTGCTTTCCAGAAGGATCTTGAAGCCAAATACCATGCTGTGATCTCAGAAAATCGACGTGCTGTTGCTCAGCTGTCTTTGGAACTTGAAAAGGAGCAAAACAGAACAACTAGTTATCGAGAAGCTCTTATTTCTCAAGGGCGTAAGTTGATGGAAGAAAAGAAGCTCCTAGAACAGGAACGGGCTCAGGTAATGAAAGAGAAGAGCCAGCTGCAGCCTCTGAGGGGGGCGTATCTGAGCTGCCTGGAGGAGCAGGAGGACTGGCAGCGACGAGCTCGGCTGATGCTGCAGGAAGTGGGAGAGGCTCTCGCTGAAAGGCAGCGCATCTACTGCAGCCTGGTCCTCCCCCGACGTGCCAGGCTGGAGCTCGAGAAGAAGCTGCTGGTGCGTGCATCCATCGACCCCATAGCTGCCGACTTAGAGATGGCAGCTGGCTTGACCGACATATTTAAGCGTGATACATATTGTGGCGATGTATGGAACACCAACAAATGCCAAAACGGGAGTCTCATGTGGCTGTATCTCAAGTATTGGGACCTAGTTGTCGAATTGAAGAAGTTTAAGAGTGCAGAGAAGATTATACTAGAGAAGTAAGACAGAATGAAATAAAACTCAAGGCCAAAGACAGCCTTCTGTTGTGACATTCTGGGCCCTCTGATGTTTCGTTTCCTGCCGCCTGTGTCGTAGCCACACGACGCCTCCCTCAGCAGCAGCTCTGCTCCTGCCTCTCTGAGCGGCACCGCATGGCCTCAGCTGACGCAGGGTTTCCTGTAGATGCCCTGCAACTATGAATGACTCGCTTTCTCTGAAGCACTTTCCTGAGCTGCTAATATTTAGCAGAGTAATATAACCTTGTGTTTTAGCTTTATGGTAAAAGTTTTTAAAAGGTCTGACACAATATTGTTCCTCAGTAAAAGCAATTTTCTATCAGGTTCCATTTTCCTTTCTCCCTAAGCAGATTGCCCTCTTGAGTTATTTTCTCCTTCTCTTTTCCTGAAGTTGTCAGGTGCATGTCAGGCTGGCTTGCAGGTGACAGTAGGAAATAATAACACCCTCAAGGTTTTGCATTGGACAGAAGAGCGCTCTCGTTCACAAAGGGAAGAAGCGCCAAGGGTTTATTGTATCCAGTTATTACTTAGTATATTTTTGGAATTTAGCTTGTGTCTGTATTCAATAAGCAGATGTTTGTTAGTAATGGTATATAATAAAAAATACATGCCATTTAGAATAGTATCAAAATAAGTAAATAAAACTAATAGTATCATTTTTAATTTGTGTGATTCTTTTCTCTGTATAAATGTTTTATGTATATTAGGAATTTTTGCCACAGCCAACCTCAGAGGTAGATAAGAACACCATTTCACACATAACTAACATGAACTGAGGCTTTTTGCATATTGTTCAGGCGATCTTTCTTTCCTACGAGCAAGCACTGTTGTTATCTGGGTGGGGGCTCCCCAGGAAGACCCCAGGTCCCAGGAGTGTCCCAGGACTCCGCACATGGGAGTCCTCACAGTCATGAACCGTGACTAGGAGAGAGGAGTCATCAAAGGGGGAAGCCACATGGAATGGGCCCAGAGGGAACTAGACATGAGCTTCCAAGGGTCCCTTCAAGCACCTGGAGCATGTTCCATTCCCCCAGGAGTGAGCTGTGACCACGTGTGGCAGATCTTGGGGACACTCACCAGAGCCTATGCCAGCGTTACGATGGATGTTCCCACTCCTCTGCCTGGAGCAGACCAGCAGGGGGGCAAGGCTGGCAGACCTGTGGCATGGCCTGGGCTAGGCCCAGAGCCAGTCTCACTGGTTAGTGGTGCTGGGAACCCTCCCAGGGCATAAGTTTCCAGGTGCCAGTCTTGTAAGTGGACCTTTGAGAGGGTGCAGTCTTGGCAGTGCCATGTGGGCTCCTCTACCCATCCTCACTGCACAGAGGGGGCGTGGCACTCAGGTACGGAAGAGTCACCTGCCCAGCTCACACAGGCAGTGGTGTTGTCGTCTCACCAGGCACACTGACTCCAGGATGACTGGGAACTTGCACGTCTGACAGTGGCCTAGCAGAGAGGGGAGCCCACAAATCATGGTGGCACTAACTGTATGATCCTTAGTTGACTGAGTGAAGATGCCTTTACCCCTCTTACGTTCACAGATATGATTATATATAGTGTATATGCATCTTGCAGACTTGCGGGTACAGTATTGTTTTCATGAAAATAATTGCAGGACAATGTGCAGCAGTAATTTTGTGATGTCATGAAGGGAATCCTTCCCGACAGGACCCAGGTATTCTTTAAAAGAGAAGTTGTATTTGACCGAAATGTGACACTGTTGGGTTATTTTTAAAACCATTGCTTATAGTTACTGAGGACATCTCTAAGGTAAGGAGAAGAAGAGGCCCCATACAGAACCAAGTCTTCAGAGTGCACACACCTGAGCCCTGTCAGGGCCGGCAGTGTGTGTGCCATTCGGGCAGCTCCCTTGTTGGGATGGCTCCATACCACACTGATGGGGACATCACTGCCGTGCCCACTGCTGGGCTCGCTCCATCTATTCAATTTATGAGGTAGGCTGAGCTGTGTAACTTGGACTCCGAGTGCTCTGGTGGCACACTCCTGTAATTCTACCACTCACCAAAGCTGAAGCCGGAGGGTCATGAAATGGAGTCCAGCCTAGGCAGCTTAGTGACTTTGTGGGTCCCCATCTCAAAAATACAAGAGACCAGCTCAAGGTGAAGGCCTTGTATTCAAACCTCCCCCCCCCCACCACACACAGTACCCCTCTCTTTTTTAGGTCTGACCAAATAATCACTGTGTTTCCCACTGTATAAATAAACAGTAGAGCTCTAGGTGACTTGGACATGTGAGGGAGATGTTTTAAAAGCCATCTCCTGGAACCTCAATGTTAGTGCAGTGGTGGGGAAAAGTAGGTCTGATCTCAGAGAGGCACTCACGATGGCCCTGAGCCTGCCTGGGAGGAGCTGTCCTGCCTCTGCATTTTGCTTCTAGCCTCTTGGGCCACCTGGAGCTGCTGAGTAGGCATGCTGCCTGTCCTGCAGGAAGTGAGCACTCCTGGATGTTGGAGTGGAGTGGAACAGAGATAAACAAGAACTGTAGAGTGTGGCTTTGCTAACTTCACTGGAAACCTAGAAAGTGAAAGGCTTTGGTAAGCCCGCCATGACTCAAGGCCTGCTATGGAAGCCAAGGGCCCACTAGTTCCCAAGGAAACTCTACTCTGCAGGCAAGACTCTTGCTGTCAGACTGACGACAGCAAGAGAGTACGGCAGCTTCCAGACCAGATTGGCACAATGCCTAAATTGGATGTTTGTTGAGTAGCCTGAGAAACCTAATTCAGGGTCCTTAAAGCCCTTCACATTAGCTCAGACATTAGTGTTGGGAGCCCTGCAGAGCCAGCCTCTGGGAGATGTCCTTGTGCCCCCACCCCCAGGGCTGGGTGCCTGCAGGAACTGGTGACCAATGCCTGTTGGCCACAAGGCACCGTGTTGGAATACCCAACGCCAGGTTGATGCTCTGGCAGAATTCCTGTGATAACCTCTGAATGAGCTGGACTTCCCGACATCAAAGGTTTGGTTGGAGTGGGTGTCGGGCCTGCTGCTGAGACTCTGGTCCTGGCGAGCTCCCATGGCTACTCCTTGGGCAGGGCTGGCCCTGCTGGGAGGTGCTGTGAACAAGGCTAGGGACTGGCAAGGGGAGGTAGGTAGAGTAGCTGTGACAAGCATCAAGACAGTGGCAAGCACAGAACCTCCACTCCTTGGCAAGCCATAGGGGCTGGTTGCTAATAGGATTTCAGGGTTAAGGTGAAAGCTGAAGAGAACATTGATAACTTGTAATGGGCAAGAGGAGAACAAGAGCAGTGGTTATGGCCTGTGCAGAGGCCTTTGGATCTGTTGATATCTCTGTTGTATCCCTTACACTACTGTTCTTACCTGTAGGTCTAGTCATTAAAGTGGGAAGGGCGAGGCAAGAGCCCCTGCACTGCCCTCTCCCCGCAGGAGGGTCAGCAGGAAGACTTGGGAATCCAAAGAGTGGCCCCACATGTTGTCCTCAGTGTTGGGCCCCTGGGGTCCTTGGTATCCCTAATGCTGGTCTCTGTAATGTCCCTGTTCATTTCACCCCATCTGGCCCAGGAACAGCCAGCTGGGAGAGGGCAAGTGACAGCAGACCCCCTGCATCATCAGGAGTCACCTGGCTGGAGCCACCCATGTGTGTTGCAGCCCTGATCAGCACAGTTGTGTCCAATGCATTTTCTGGGTTTCCAAGAGATGTATGGCCTAGATCCCACCTGGCCTCACGGACGGATTCCCAGGGTGGACCAGGTGATCTGAGTTCATCAGATGTTGAAACCACGTATTCAGGCTGGGGCCAGGAATGACCAGAGGAGCAGGTGGGTCTCATGCATAGACCCTTCAGGATGACTCTGAGCCTAATGTGTCCACAGCCCCTTGGCTTGGGAAGAGTGGGCTCTGTATAGACCATCCACTACCAGCACCTTCACCTGGCCCCTGCACACTTTTCATGTGCCTGCCTCTGTCCAGACCCTAGGTCATGTCCAGCTCAGCCTCACTGGTACAAGGAAGGACCTCCAGTACTATCCAACCTGGGGATAAAGACTGGTTATGATGCCACTTAGAGACCAAGCCATTAATTAAGAAAGTTCAGGGGCCAGGGAGATGGCTCAGTGGAATAAGTGCTTCCCTGGCAAGCGCAAGGGCCTGAGTTCAATCCCCAGTTCCGCCACAAAAAAAAGAAAGAAAGTTCAAACACTTAAAACAGTGGAAGTGGGCTGGTGAGATGGCTCAGTGGTCTAAAGCACCTACTTAGAACAAGCTTAGCA